AGAACATCCTTCTCTTTATTAGTTCTTTGGTGACTTTTTTATTACAGTGGAGGTGTTTAAAAACCCCTAGATATGCTAAAGCACAAGATTTACCAAACTGATTACTGTAAAATTTCAGATGCAGTTTCATTCCAAAGTAAAAAATTCCAATTGAAGAATTCCTATTGAATGAACCATTTAAACAGCCATTATATCCACATGAGCCATGTTGGTCTTTTAACTGCAATTAAAAGGCTCTATAGACATGAAATGACCCTTAAAGTATGGGGGATACAGGAGAACACAGGCCTATTTTTTTTGTTAAAAAGATACCAACCAGTATGTTAAAAAGTTTATTTTAGTAACATTGTAAGGCAACAATTAATCCTCAACAAGTCAGCAAACCAGTGAAAGGAAACGGACAGACACAGACACATTCATTCTTTCTACAGCTTCTTTGTCAGCAGGCTGGCTTGTGGCCCCCTCATCATGCTTATTTATATCTGTTAAACTATGGCAACAAACACTTCATCCAACAGTCATTCTTGGTCAAACACAAGAACAAACTTGTAAAATCACAGTTCTTCACACTTTCCCTGAATCTGCAGTACTGTGCTTGCTCCTTAAATTCTGCAGAAAATAATGCATTTGTTAGAGCTTGAAAAGACCCTTTTAGAAATGAGTTATTCAAATGATCAGATACTCGTTTTTGAGAAACCTAACAAGTTTAATCTTAGAGGCTATAGACTGTGTGCTTATTAATAGAACCATGAATACTATGTGTAATTAATTGACCGTTCTGGTATTAAAACAACCTACCAGAGTATTAAGCATGCCCTGAAACTAGTAGGGCATCTTGTTTCTGACCGTATACAATATCAAAACTTCATAATGCTAAGGAAAATGAAAACAAAAGAGTAAACCAAAGGCAAAAGGAAAATAATGATTACTACTGAAAATAACAGCATTCTTCCTGAAAGAATATGGGGGGTGTCACAGAGAACAATGTTTTTCATACAATGTCTTCAACGTGGAATTTTGCTACTTTTTCTATAAATAATTTCTAGTATTGTATTTCAGATTACCCACTGGGATAGAAAATATTCATTGAGAAATTATTACTGTTAACTTTTTCCCCACGACTGTAATTCTAGACAAGATATAAACCCTGTATACATTACGTACTACCTGACAGATAAATGTAGCAAGAGCCAGACACTGAGCAGATAGTCTACAAAATCTAGGAAAAGTGCTGACTCCAGTGTGCAGTGTTGATGCATGTTACCATTCAGCTTTGGCTGCAGCCCAGCTATCTGCATGGGCCCAGTTAGTTTTTGGCGAATCACAAATTAGGCAGGCAATAGGAAGAGCATGATTAAGCAAGCACATCAATACATCGTACAAGCAGCTTCAAGAAAAG